CCTTCCCAGATCTGTTTTCTAAGGACTCAGTGCTTCTTGATCTCTTACCCACTGTCCATGAGATTCTTCTGATTTTCTCTGTGAAAAAAATCTGACGTTTTAATTATGTTTTCTTATGAAGCACAAATCCCAGAGTAAATGCTACAAAGCTAGAGGACATTGCTGCAGATGATCCCGTACTCTTCTAGGGCTGTGCTGGCCAGATAGGTCCAGACCAGGGGAGGGATTGGACTGAAGGAGCCTTCAGTTTTTTCCAGGGGCTGATGGTTCCCTTCCTTTTGCAGAGATCCTGGACTTTGGCTATCCACAGAATTCAGAGACAGGAGCACTGAAAACCTTCATCACTCAGCAGGGTATCAAGAGCCAGGTACTCAGTGGGACAGCCACAGCAAGGGTGGGGCCCATCCTCATTGAGCGCCCCCCCCCCCCGCCCCCCGCGAACCTTGTCCCAGCTTACTCAAGAGCCCGCCTTTGACAGGAAGTGCTGGCCTGAGCCCTCTACCATGATTGAGGGCCTATTTTGCTGTATGTGGCCCTCCACCCTAGGAGCAGCTGACTCAGCATCTCTGTTACTGGGAATACAGTTCAAGCAGTTTCCTTCTGCACTGGGGGAAGGAAGGGTGTGGGCTGCCCTGGAGGCCTGGTGTTCCTCAGGAGGAGAGAGCGTGGGCCCTCCTCTAGGATCCAGGCCTTATAGCTGCCTTCTTCTTTTCTGCCTGCTGCTTCCCGTCTGTGCTCCCCTCCTGCTTCCTGTGGGCATCACATTGGCCCTTTGGCCTCCAGCATCAGGTAAGTTGTTCCCTCAGCTTCCACCTTTACAGCTTTGCTCCAGTTTTCTTTGGGCCCTGCCGCATGGAGCTCATGGGGAGGATGAATTACAGGGTGGGGACTAAAAGGGAGGGGGAATGAGTGGAGTGGGGATAGAGACAGGATCATTGAAGGTGGAGAGGAATGAGGCCATTAGTATTTTTCTCTGTCCCCCCATGTAGACAAAAGAAGAGCAATCCCAGATCACCAGCCAGGTGACCGGGCAGATTGGCTGGCGGCGGGAGGGCATCAAGTATCGCCGGAATGAGCTCTTCTTGGATGTGCTGGAGAGTGTGAACCTCCTCATGTCCCCCCAGGGTGAGAGCCCTCTCGTGATGAAGCTAGAGAGGCAGGATCAGGGCAGGATTCTCGTCCTAACTCCAGTGTTCCCATGTATCTGTCTATCACCAGGGCAGGTGCTGAGTGCCCATGTGTCAGGCCGGGTGGTGATGAAGAGCTACCTGAGTGGCATGCCTGAGTGCAAGTTTGGGATGAATGACAAGATTGTCATTGAGAAGCAAGGCAAAGGCACAGCTGATGAAACAAGCAAGAGGTGCCTGAGCAGGGTTGCTGGGAGAGGGTGGACCTTGGAGGGGTGAGCAGGGCTTGGGCTATCACAGGTTCCTTCAAGATACCATTTCTGCAGTAATGCAGACTTCCTCTTCCCGAGGGTGTGCTTGCCTGGTTGCCAGCTTTCTCCATTCTGGTAGCTTTCCATAGTCTGTAGCACAGGCCTTACCCAGGATGTGGCAGCTTTTGGGGGTGGGATAGCGTCCCAGCTAACTCTCTCCTGCCACACTCCTGTACCAACGAGGAGACCTTCTGCCCCTGCTCGCAGTGGGAAGCAATCAATTGCCATCGATGACTGCACCTTCCACCAGTGTGTGCGACTCAGCAAGTTTGACTCTGAACGCAGCATCAGCTTCATCCCACCAGATGGAGAGTTTGAGCTAATGAGGTGCCATTGGGGTGTGAGGAGGCAGGGGGTGCTGCTGGCCAAGAGAGATGGGGGAGAGGGAGGAGGACAGGCTCTCCTATGCCAACCTTGCTCCCCACCCCTAAAGGTATCGTACCACCAAGGACATCATCCTTCCTTTCCGGGTGATCCCACTAGTGCGAGAAGTGGGACGCACCAAGCTGGAGGTTAAGGTGGTCATCAAGTCCAATTTCAAGCCCTCATTACTGGCTCAGAAGATTGAGGTGAGAACAGGGAACTTGGGGAGGAGAAAGCACTGTCTCCAGGTATAAAGGCAGCTGATGTCAGGGCTTGACAGAGCGCCCTGACCGTTGTATGGCTTCTAGGTGAGGATCCCAACCCCACTGAACACAAGCGGGGTACAGGTGATCTGCATGAAGGGGAAGGCCAAGTACAAGGCCAGCGAGAACGCCATCGTGTGGAAGTGAGTCTCCTTCACGAGGCCACCGCAGGGCTCAAAATGCTTTGGTGTACCCTCTTTTTAAGTTTTACCTTCATTGTCTTGAGAGAGAGAGAGTGTGTGTGTGTGTGGTGGGTGGGGGGAGGGTACCTGCCTTTTTCTCCAGGAACCTCTCTGCTTGTGCTCTCACTCCTGTACCTCTGTGTGAGTGTGCACATGCCTGCACTTGGGTGCATGCATGCGTTTATTTATCAAAATGTTTCCATGTTTTTCCCTGTTTGCCCGTGTAATATTTCTGTGAAATAGAGAGCAGGGGATAGCATGCCTGTGTATCTAAGCTGAAACTGCAGCCAACAGTGCTAAAGGAATAGCATACCCAAGGTTCCATAGCAAGTGGTTATCAGGTTCTTCCCCATACTTTTTGTCCTAGCACCTCCCACAAGCTCTTCAGTTCCCTTCCCCTGACCCCTCCAAAAAGGCACCCTCGACCTTGAAACTCCTCCAAGCTATCAGGGGCACTTCCTGCTTATTGCCCCTCTCTTCCCAGGATCAAGCGCATGGCAGGCATGAAGGAATCGCAAATCAGCGCAGAGATTGAACTTCTGCCCACCAATGACAAGAAGAAATGGGCTCGACCCCCCATTTCCATGAACTTTGAGGTATGGCAAAGGAGGGGCCTAGAGCCATGGCAGGGTGTGCTAAGAAAGATCTTAGGATTGTTCAGGTCAATTTCTGTACCTTACTTCCTGCATATGAGACCTAGAGAGGGGAAATGACTTTTAATTCATAGACCCATTCCTTCCCCCTTCAGGCCTCTTACTAGAAATTGCTATTCACACTGACAAATATCTTTGACTTCTAAAGCTGTCATAAAACAATTTTTTGGAAAAATTTAGATTGCTTGAATGCCAAGTAAGACACAAAGTTTATTTACAGACAGGAGAATGGGCTGACTTTGCTTTGTGCATGTTAGACATATAATTTTCTCCACCTTATTTTTTAAGCCCATAATATTGAGCAGGATAAGTGTGTTCTACAGTGGGTCTTTGGTTGTTGCCTCCTGCTGATTAAAGGAATTGATTCAGGTTATCATAGGCAAGGCCTGACTTCAAACCCAAGTGATTATATTAGTTACTCTTGGATATGCTCTCTTCTTTAGTAACCTCTTAAGAAGACTCTTCTTAAGCTTCCCCCAGCTTCTTTCAGGACCCCAAGCATTCAAATACCTGTAGTAGCGAGAGATGAAGTAGGTCAGGGCTACAGAACTTCCCAGAGTAGAGCAGCTGTGAGAGGAAGACCACATTCCTAACTGGAGCTGTCCTTTGCCCAGGTGCCATTCGCACCCTCTGGCCTCAAGGTGCGCTACTTGAAGGTGTTTGAACCGAAGCTGAACTACAGCGACCACGATGTCATCAAATGGGTGCGCTACATTGGCCGCAGCGGCATTTATGAGACCCGCTGCTAGCTGCCTAGTAGCAGCTAGCCTGTCTCCCCACCCGCCCTTTTCCACAGGTCTGGGTGCCCTGGGCCACCACACTTCAGTGTCTCCTCCCTCCTGCTTTGCTGCCTTCCCTTTGCACCAGCCCCTGAGTCTAGGTCTGGACCAACCACATTGCGAGTGGGACTGGTGGAGCAGTCCCCGGGCTCCCTGGGAGGGTGGTTTCTGGGGCTCCTACTTCACCATCCGTCTGCCCTGGCCCAGTGCCAGGCTCTGTGTTCTGTGACCAAAGCCAGGTGGGCTCCCTCTCCTCCCCTCCCCTGTGGCCACATCTCTCTGGAGTGGGAGGGTTGGCTGCCCCTCACCTCGGAGCTCCCCCAAAGGCCAGTAACGGATCCCCAGCCCTCAATCCCTACTCTGCTTTGGGATAGTGTGAGCTTCATTTTGTACACGTGTGACTTTGTCCAGTTATAAACCCAATAAACTCTGTAGAGCGGAGTTGCTAAGTGTTAATGCGGGAGCTCGATGGGGAGGGGGACTGTTGGAATTGCTCTTCCCAAATCTCACGCTGCCTGCTATGAGTAGAATTTTACATTCTGAATTCTCTTAAGACTCTTATCTTGTGTCGATTGTTAGGCCCTTCATGGTTATCCAAGCCCTTACCTGACTGGTGTTACCCCAGGTCTCCTGTCTCCCCAAAACACAACCTCAAGGGCAAGCAGCTCCACCTGGTCCCAGTCCCCTGAGGGTAGAGATTCTGTCCCTAATTCACTTTCAGCTTTAGGCAGGTATTCTGTAATTAGCAGAGATTAAGCAAGTTTTACATTTGGATTTTCCCACCATCCGGAGAAACTGACATCTCAATTCTGTCCTCTTCCCAATTACCCAGGCTTCCCAAACATTGGTGAGAGGGTGATAAAAGAGATTCTCTTTTCTGTAACTTCCTCTTCTCCAAAGAATCTTGTGATGAGCTTGTCCTTGAGGGGAGTATTCCATACCCTGCTGGTGTATTGGAGCAGTTAAAAGCAAATTTGCCCTCACCATCTTTCCCTTGTTTGTCTTCAGCTATTTTAAACCTAGAAAATCTATTAGAGAAAATTTCAAATATAAACAGAAGTATCGAGATATAATGAACTTTCGTGTCCTGTCATTCAACTTTAACAATTATCAGCTCATGGCCAGTTCCTTAGTATCTCATGATTTGTGTTCACACGTAATCCAAGAGTCCTGTGGAATTTTTTACTTGTGTCTGGATCTAAATAAACAAGGTCCACTGTGGTCAATGAATGCTATTTATTTATCTATTTATTTATTTATTTATTTGAGAGGGGCCAGGGGAGGGGGAAAGGGGCAGAAGGAGAGGGAGAGAATAGTAATCAGGCTCCTCACCCAGCATAGAGCGCAATGCAGGACTCAATCTCATGACCCTGAGATCACCACCTGAGATGAAATCAAGAGTCCAGTACTTAACCAACTGAGCCACCCAGGCGCCCCTCACTTTTTAAATTCTATAAACCATAGGTTCTCCTCAGCTCTTGCAATGTTGTTGAAGAAGCCATCGTTTGTAGTTTCCCCATCAATTCCTCTTCCAGGGGCACTTAACCAGGACGCTTAACGAAGCGTCTGCCTTTGGCCCAGGTCATGATCCCAGGGTCCTGAGATGGAGCCCCACATCGCATCTGGCTCCCTGGTCGTCGGGAAGCCTGCTTCTCCCTCTCCCACTCCCCCTGCTTGTGTTCCCTCTCTCTCTCTCTCAAATAAATAAATATTTTAAAAAATTCCTCTTCCATCTATTGCCTATAAAGTGGTTGTTAGATCTAGTAGCTTAGCTTTTTAAACTTTTTTTTAAAGTTTTTTTTTAAGTAATTTCTACACCCAAGGAGGGGCCAAACTCAGGACCCTGAGATCAAGAGTTGCATGCTCCTCTGAGCCAGTCAGGTGCCCCAAGCTTTTTAAACTTTAAATAGTTGGATTATCTTTCTAGATGGCAAAAGGATAATGGATCTTAGGTGAAAATCTTCAGGTTGTCAGAATATTCATGTTAAATATAAAGCAGTAGCATCATTTGGGGGAACTTCCTAACTTCTAGAGGGAATCAGTGAAAGTAGCTTTATACACTCATTTACTGAGCTTCCTGGTGCAGAGAAGCCTGTTTTGGGTGTGTAGGTAGGGAATAAATACTGATGAATTTGCACTGGTCGATCTCGTTTTCTTGCCCTTTGGCGGTTAAGTGAGCTTGTGCCTTGGGGTGACGTTTGGACTGAGTGAGCACAATTTGCACAGGTCCACTGACCTGTCAGAGGTGAGAGAACTGAGGCTGGCCGCCCGGCTAATACAACAAGCCCGTAGGCCCTGGGGACCAGAACAAAACCCGTGGGCCGCCCAGAACTGTGCAGGAGGCTTCTGAGAGGCCAGGGACCGACCATGAGTCAGCAGAGCTCTCGGTGGTCTCCAAAATGGACCCGGCTGGGCGCGCTGAGACAGGCGCGCCTCAAGGGAACCCAGAGATCTAGCGAGGCCCGTGTGCTTTATCAACTTCCTGTCTCTTGGGAGGTTCCCAGCCGCGGGACCACGGCCGTCTCGTGCACGCCGCCGCCGCCGCCGCCGCCGCCTTTCGGAGCGCCACCTCCCAAAAGGCAGCGAGAATCGCACATGTGGCTAGTTTTTCCGCGGAAACGGCGTTGCGCAAGCGCAGAGAGCAGCTCGAGCGTAGGCTCTGAGCGGCGCTTGCGCACGATTCCTCCAGCCCCGTTCACCCGGTCCACCGGGTTCCGGGCACTCCGCGCCTTTCTTACATCACCACTACGCATGCGCCTTGGAAGGAGGGGCGAGCTTTTGGGAGACCGGCAGGAGGCGCGTCTTGGCTGCCGCCTAACGGCGCCTGCGCGGACGGGAGCCCGACTGGAACATGGCGACTTGCGCTGAGATCCTGCGGAGCGAGTTCCCCGAAATTGACGGACAGGTCTTCGACTACGTGACGGGTGAGCCGAACCGAATCTGCGCGCTGGGGAGGCCAAAATGGAAGTCATTGGGAGAAAGACTAAGGGAGGGCAGTGCCGGGACCGCTGCTAGGCCTCTCCTCTGCGTGACCTCTTGTCCCGAGGTCAGGTTAGGTCTGGAGCGCGGAGTGGGGCCGTGTTTCGGGGACTAAAACGGCTTGTGTGTCTACCCTACCCGGTATCTTCCTCGACCTGCCACGCCCGGCCCAGGCGTCTTGCACAGCGGCAGCGCGGACTTCGAGTCTGTGGATGACCTGGTGGAAGCGGTGGGGGAACTGTTGCAGGAGGTGTCCGGGGACAGCAAGGATGACGCGGGCATCAGGGCTGTGTGCCAGCGCATGTACAACACTCTGCGCCTGTACGTGCCAGGGTAGGGGGATTCGTGGGGGCGATGGGAGGGCGGACGGTAAGGAGACAAGACGTAAGGGAAGAAGGTCTGATGGCTGTAGAGCTTTTTACTCAATTCCTAACTCTGCGCTTTCTGTTCCTACCCTAAAGGGATGAGCCACAGACCCAGGGAAACAGCCAGGTGCTACTAGACGCCCCCATCCAGTTGTCAAAGATAACAGAAAACTACGGTGAGAGTGAGGGAAGATTGAACTAGCTGCTCTCTGCCCTTGTCTCAGCCTCCATCCCCCACCCAGCCAGCCTTCCCCTGGAGCCCAGGACTCCTGGTACCCCTTTCCAACAGAACGAGGATGTAGAAGCTAGTTGATGTCTTTACTGAGGGCAAAAGAGGCCATTGATGAAGGGAGTAGGGTTGGAGAGTTTTCCAAGCTCTTAGGTAGGGTAGGAAGCTTATGGGCCTTGGGGCTGGACACTTAGGTTTACTTACCAATTTTGTGACTTTCTAATCAACTGCATGAGCTTGTAGGAGTTGCTTATCTGCCTCAGTCTCTATTCTTAATCTGGGAAGTGGTTTTTTTTTGTTTGTTTTTGGTTGAAATATGGGGAGGATGATAGCTATTTCTGGGATTGTAAGGCTTTCCTTTAAATGTCTATGTCTGTGTCTGGTTCATACTAGTTACTCAAAATGTTAGTTTCCCTTCCCTCAGGGAGAAGGTGACTGCTTTTCTTATCGCTTACAGACTGTGGCACCAAACTTCCAGGACTGCTAAAGAGGGAACAGTCCTCGGTGAGGAGGAGGAAGAAAGGGAGGGGTCTGTGTCTGTGGTTGGGGTGGAAGTTGACTATCTTTAAATATTGGAGGATTTTTTCCAGGGGTTTCTGATTATGTGTTTTGTTGAAAGCAGGGTAACTTAAGATGTTCTTTCTGGGGCTCCTTTCTGAGCCTGCAACCTAGGCTGAAATGGTTGTGTTTGGACCTTTAGACAGTGAATGCAAAGAAGCTAGAGAAGGCTGAGGCTCGACTGAAGGCAAAGCAGGAGAAGCGCTCAGAGAAGGACATACTCAAGACCAGCACTCCTCTGTGAGTCTAGCAAGAAGGGCTGAGAAGAGAATAGAGCAGTCTCTATTGGGATGGAAGGGTGGCCGGGAATGCTAAAAACCATTCATTTCTCCCTTTGAAAGGGTCTTGGAAGAGGCATCAGCCAGCCAGGCAGGCAGCAGAAAAGAGAGTCGGTTGGAATCATCTGGCAAGAACAAATCATATGATGTGCGAATTGAGAACTTTGATGTGTCTTTTGGTGATAGGTGAGGGAGTGGCAGTGGGGAGGGGTTACGTTTTTCTTTTTCCAATTAAAGGAGAATTTGGATAGATGAAATGGGGCTTAAAATAACATTAGGTTTTTTGAGGTTCAATTTGCTGTATACTTATCTCTGGAGCAGCACCCTTTGTCTTCTTCCTACTACCCCTGCAGGGTACTACTGGCTGGAGCAGATGTGAACCTGGCGTGGGGCCGCCGCTATGGGCTGGTGGGTCGAAATGGGCTGGGGAAGACGACACTCCTGAAGATGTTGGCCACTCGGAGCCTGCGAGTTCCAGCCCACATTTCCCTGCTGCACGTGGAGCAGGAGGTTGCTGGAGATGACACCCCTGCCCTGCAGAGTGTGCTAGAGAGTGACACCATGAGAGAGGACCTTCTGCAGAGGGAGCGGAAGCTCAGTGCCCAGATTGCCACTGGCAGGTAAGGGCTCCAGATGGGGAATAACCAGCAGCCACGGTTCTTCAGAGAGTGCGTGTTGTACTGCCACGATCCATAACTTGCACGCTCATCCTAGTGAGCAGCAGAGCTTAGATCCTGGCGCTGGTGAGCTGTAAAGCCCTGTTCCTTCCACAGTGCCCACTGGCCTCCCTGACTTGAGCAGGTGCTTCCTGTAGTTCATTCCTGTCCTGGCAACAAGGCAGTCAGTGGCCTGCTCTCCAACTGCGTAGCGTCCAGGGCATTCTCCCTAGACTGCCCCCAGTCAGGCTGAGCGCTCTTCCTCCATTCCCACTCCAGGGCTGAGGGCTCAGAAGCTGCACAGCTGGCGGAAATATATGCCAAACTGGAGGAGATTGAGGCTGACAAGGCACCTGCCAGGTATTTAAAATTCCCCTTCCCTCCTTCAGATTTCACCTTTCCCTTCTGTTATCTGTTTCAACCAAGTTCTTCCATTTCTTCATTTCTAGGGCATCAGTCATTCTTGCTGGGCTTGGCTTTACCCCTAAAATGCAGCAGCAGCCCACCCGGTGAGTGGCCCTTGCCATTCTTGGCTGTGAACACTGTTGGCTTTGCCTCTGCCTATTCTGGTGAACACCTACCCCTGATGTGATCTCCGTTTCTTTAGGGAGTTCTCAGGTGGCTGGAGGATGAGGCTGGCCCTGGCCCGGGCTCTGTTTGCTAGGTGAGTCTCCTGGGTCAGTGTATGGATACTGTGGAGGATGGGCCTTGGCTCGTGGGAAGTCATGAGCTGCTGACCTAAAACCTCAAGGCTTACATTCTTCTTTTCTATAGGCCAGATCTTCTGCTGCTAGATGGTGAGTTTGAAAGGGGGCACCCTGACTTTGCGGTGGGGAAGGATGGCAACATCCAGGTTCTATAGCACTTTAATCCCAAATGTATCCTTCCCCACTTTTCCAGAACCCACAAACATGCTGGATGTAAGGGCCATCCTGTGGCTGGAGAATTACCTGCAAGTGAGTGCCTATAGGTGTTAGAGTAGGTCTAGGGAAGGTCTGCCTCTAAGACACCCGGGGGGCTGGAAGCTGACTGCTCTCCCAAACTGGGCCTGCCATCCTGTGACCCCTCAGACATGGCCCTCTACAATCCTGGTCGTCTCCCACGACCGCAACTTCCTGAATGCCATAGCCACAGACATCATCCACCTGCACAGCCAGCGACTAGATGGCTACCGGGGAGACTTTGAGACCTTCATCAAGAGCAAGCAGGAGCGGCTGCTCAATCAGCAGCGGGAGTACGAGGCACAGCAGCAGTACCGCCAGCATATCCAGGTGTGGGGACAGGCTGGGGGGCCCATCCCGTGGGCATTGGAGTTGGCCGGAGTGAGGGAACCTGACCAGTGCTGACGCTCGTCCGCCCACAGGTTTTCATTGACCGATTTCGCTACAATGCCAACAGAGCCTCTCAAGTGCAGAGTAAACTTAAGATGCTGGAGAAGCTGTGAGTACAGTGCCCTTGACCGGGCCCTGACTCCTAGTCTCTTAATTTCTTCCCTCACTTTGCGGTCCACCCCTTACCCTCCCATTCTAGATCTCCCCTTTTCTAGAAACCAGCTTTAGTTTCCTCTCCAACAGGAAAGCAGAGCATTTTACACTGCTGTTAGTCTTGCTCCCCCGCAGGCCTACGTAACCACTAATTTACTTTCTCTAATCTCTTTGCTTATTCTGGACATTTCATATAAATGGAACCCTATAATATGTGATGTTTTGGGCCTGGCTTATTTCACCTAGCATAACGTTTTCGAGGTTCTTTCATGCTGTAGCACGTATTGGTACTTCCTTTCTATGGTCAGATAGTATTTCATTGTAAGGATATACAGCATTTTGTGCATTGCTTCATCAGTCAAGAGATATTGGAAGTTTCCTTTTTTTTGGCTCTTATGAATAACAGTGCTATGAACATTTGTGTACAAGTTTTCATATGGACATATGTTTTCTATTCTCCGGGGTATATACCTCGGAGTGGAATTGCTGGGTTACAAGATAATTAATTCTATGTTTAACATTTTGAGGAACTGCCAAACTGTTCTCTAAAGCAGCCATACCATTTTATTTTTCTACCAGCAATATACAAGGGTTCCAATTTCTCTGCATCCTTGCCAACACTTATTATCTGTCTTTTTAATTTTAGCCAGCCTAGTGGGCGTGAGTGATATTTCACGGTGGTTTTGATTTGCGTTTCTTTAATGACTAATGATGTTGAACATTGGGGGCTTAATCTTAAAGCAACCTTCCTAGAGGTGCTGGTTGGAGGAGGGCAGGGAGGCGAGCCTAAAATCAAAGGCTTAGGTTTTTGTGACATTGAAATACTTATCACGGTATCTTAACTGGTAGGCCAAAAACCTACAAAAAGGATAACCCTATTTTTTCAGCATATAGTGAACTAGAAGAAGGTATTCTAAAATAAGGATGTAGTTTGGATGGTGGGAGTACAAGCCTTCTCTAAGTTTTCTCTGAATATATATTACTTGTATAATAAGAACAAACAAAGTTAGTTTTAAAGCCATAAATTTAGGGGTGCCTGGGTGGCTCAGTCATTAAGCATCTGCCTTCGGCTCAGGTCATGGTCCCAGGGTCCTGGGATTGAGCCCCACATCCGGCTCCCTGCTCGGTGGGAAGCCTGCTTCTCCCTCTCCCTCTGCTGCTCCCCCTGCTTGTGTTCCCTCTCTCGTTGTCTCTCTATCAAATAAATAAATAAAATCTTTAAAAATAATAAAATAAATAAAGCCATAAATTTAGTCTGCCCCCTCTCTCCTCAGGCCAGAGCTGAAACCTGTGGACAAGGAGTTGGAGGTGGTGATGAAGTGAGTGCTGGGCCGAGAGGCTGGTGGGAGCTCGTGTTTCTGGCTGCTCCCATGTTCCTCACGACCACCTCCTGCAGGTTCCCTGATGGATTTGAGAAGTTCTCACCGCCAATTCTGCAACTAGATGAGGTGGATTTCTACTATGATCCTAAGCACATCATCTTCAGCCGTCTCTCCGTCTCTGCTGATCTCGAGTCCCGCATTTGTGTGGTATGGTTGCTGTTTCTCTGTTTCGTGAGCTGGGACTCTCCCATCCCAGCACATGGTGCGGCTTGGCCCAGATCCTCAGCTGCAAAGGGAAGTGGTGTGCAGGAGCAGGAGTTGGCCTGGGCCAAGGACTTTGCTCTACTTCCCTGCAGAGATAGAAAACCTGTTTGGTGGTATTTTATGAATATGTAGGGCAAGACTTTATCTTCCTAGTCTCAGATCTGAGTTTTCTCAAACCACGGAATAGGGAGAAATCAGGGTCAGATTTCAGGTCTTGACTCTGCCAATTGCTAGCTTGGTCACTAAGTGGAGATAGCAGCTACCACTCGGTTACTGGGAGGATTCAGTCCCCTGCACTTAGTAGGTATTTAGCTGTCAATTCCCTTTACATTTTTACTAGTTCCGTCATCTTTATGTCTAGCTTCTTAATATTTTTTTTTAGTTGTTGGAGTCATTGGTCAGAGCCAGTTCTCCTCTCCTTTGCTTCTGTGTTCTGCACATGGCTGCTCTCCAGCATTCTCATGGTTCTTTGGACAGGTTGGGGAGAACGGGGCTGGGAAGTCGACCATGCTGAAGCTGCTTATGGGGGACCTGGCACCTGTTCGGGGCATCAGACATGCTCACAGGTAAAGCCCCCGGTCCCCAACGACTGTGTAGCTACACTCCTCTATGGGCATCGCCTCCCACCCCATCTTTCCCCCTCTCTTTCTGCCTGTAGGAATCTGAAGATCGGCTACTTCAGCCAGCACCACGTGGAGCAGCTGGACCTGAGTGTCAGTGCTGTGGAACTGCTGGCCCGCAAGTTTCCCGGTACCGTAGGGATTTGGGTCGAGAAAAGAGGTGACCCCTACAGCTAGGCCTACCTTGGGGTGGGGTGCTGAGCGGCGAGCCCTGAGTCTAGGGATAAGGACATGGGCACTTGGAGGTAAGGCTGAGGGGAGGGTGAAGGGAGGGAGTCGGGTCAAGAACCCACTTGATGGGGGTGAGGCCTGTTCCAGGGCGGCCTGAGGAGGAGTACCGTCACCAGCTGGGCCGGTATGGCGTCTCTGGAGAACTGGCCATGCGCCCTGTTGCCAGCTTGTCTGGAGGCCAGAAGAGCCGGGTAGCCTTTGCTCAGATGACCATGCCCTGGTGAGTTCTTGCCTTCTCCTCTCCCCATCTTGCCTAGTAGGAAATGTTTGTCTTGTCTTCGTATCAGGGGAGTTCATTTTCTCCCAACCCCCATAACTGCCTGCCTCCCTGGGTACTGCCTTCCAGCCCCAACTTCTACATTCTGGATGAACCCACAAACCACCTGGATATGGAGACGATTGAGGCTCTGGGCCGTGCTCTCAATAATTTCAGGGTGAGTGTGCCTTCCGGCTGCCCACTCCTCCCCAAGCCTCAGCACCCCTGAGGCCCCCCCAACCTGAGTGCCTCCCGCTCTCCTCTCTTTCAGGGCGGTGTGATTTTGGTGTCCCACGATGAGCGCTTCATCCGGTTGGTGTGCCGGGAGTTGTGGGTGTGCGAAGGCGGCGGCGTCACCCGGGTCGAGGGCGGGTTTGACCAGTACCGCGCCCTTCTCCAGGAACAGTTCCGCCGTGAGGGCTTCCTCTAGGGCCACAGGCTGAGGACTGTGCCCAGGACGTGGACTGGTCTCTCAGACCCCTGGGCCACCATGTAGGCAACCATCTCCAGGCCACGGACTTCCCCCGACTTTGGGGACAGCCTTATCTCCGAATCTCCTTTTGACTGGAGCATCCTCTGCACAACCCAGGGAGCCGCATCTAAGTGTCTGTGAGGACTGGTCTTCAAGGGAAGGGGTGGGAGGTGCCCTCTGGCTATAGATCCCCCCACTGCCCTGGCTCTGACTGGGCCCCAAGTGGCTGCTGTGTAAATTAAATCTCCCCCTGCATCTCCCTGGCCTCCTCTCTGCTGCTCCCTGGCAGGACTGCAGGACTTGTCCACTGTTAGGGAGTGTGGGCTCTGTGGTTTGGGGTTTTTATAACACTTTTATCAGTCATGCAGATGAAGCCATGGCAGAACGAGTCTCTGGAAGGAGACGTCATTAAAGCCGCTGGGCCTCAGAGGTCACCTGCCTGACTTCAGGTGGGCCGAAGGGCAACGTAGTACATCACTGGGGTGCTGTTCCCCATAGCCCAGGCTCAGCCTTAGCTGAAGGGGGCTTGGGTTCTGCTGCCTCAGCCCCACTGCTTGTGGGAGTGAACTGATGCTGTAAGCTGGTCTCCAACATGTTTTGTCAACTGCTTAGTCCAGTGGTCTCTGACTTAGGCTCACCCTGCTTCTCTGATCTAGACCCTCAGATGGAGCTGAAGAGAAACCAAGAAACTAACTTTGTCCCCATTTTGCTTGGGTGGTTTCATGTTCTTTATTTTCCCTCGAACCACATAGGTAGGGGCCTAGGAAGTAGGGAATTGAGAATGGGGTCGAGTGGGAAGAAACAGCACTTTGTTTTCAAATGAAGTGATCTCGGAGAGGAGATGTTTAACAGAGGTAGTATGGCTTATCAAATTGTTTCTTGAGGACTCAGCTGCTCTATGTAGTTGTAGGAGGCACTAAAATAGGAACCTTGCGTTTCTGAAAGATAACGGAGAAACCAGAGTCTGCAGAAGGAACTGGCTGGCCTCATGGAGAATTGTAGTCACAGAGCTCAACCTAGGATTCTTAGCCCCTGAGGCTATCGTGGTGTGTAGGTAGCTGGGGGAAAGAACCTGTTTTGGAGGAAAGGAGAATAAAGACAGGAAGGCTCTGTTAACTACAGAGCAGGTGCTGATGGACACAGGAAGCTGGCCAAAGGGCCACTCGTCGGCCAGCCTCCTCAACCTCCCTCCCTCTCCCATGTCTGTGGCCATGCGCACCCTCAAAGTCCTGAGAGCCTTCTCACAGCCCCCACCAAACTCCCAACCTCAGGCCTGCAGGTGGGCCAGTCGGGGGCCATCTGGGGTGGGCTCCGTGCCTGCCTGTTTGCCAGGCTCTCAGTCCTTTCACCCCTCAGTAACTTGTGAATCCCTGTAGGAGTCTTCAACTCCTCAGTCAGTAAAAATGCAGTGGAAGGGTTCTGTGACACAGAGTCTGCTTCTTTGGAGGTGGCTTTGTGTACAGAGAGCACAGGCATTGGAGCTGGGCCTGAGATCAAGTCCCAGCAACATCACTAGTCATAGAGGGAACCACCAGCATTAGCTGGGTAACCACAGCAAATCGCTGAACCTTTTTGAACACCTGCCTCCTTGGTTTTTCTTTATAGGATTGTTGTGAGGATTAGCTGGCAAGCACATAATACATAAGCACTCAGAAAGTGATTCTTGGGCGACCAGTCTATGATTTGAAGACTATTATTTGAGAAAAGAGGTAAATTTTCTCTTGAGTGACTCCAGAGGTAGACCAGTTTGGGCTCAAAGGAAGGAAAACTTTTTAAATAGCTCAGGCTGCTTTCTGAGAGTGAATCCCCATCTCAGACTGTTCAGCCTTGCCAGGCTCTGGAGAAGGGCTCTCCGGTAGGAGGAGCACTAGATAGCCTCCGGGTTGGCTTCCAATTTTATGATTCCATGAAAGAAACATGAAGAGCTTTTATATATGACAATATAAGCCTATGCTGCAGGACTTCAGAAAGGTAGGATGAATGAGTTGCAGCAGCTGAGAAAGACCCTACAGTAAGTAAAAAGTGAACTTCTGGAAATTAGGGAAGGGGAGTTGGCAGAAGATGGTTGTCTCGAGGGATGGAGAATGTGGGCAAAGTCACGCAGCTCCATCGTAGAGAGCACAGGGCAGGGAGGAGAGAGGCAGGTGACACAGAAGACTGCTCTTGATCATCCCAGGTAGCCCATCATGGCAGCCGCCCCTTTCATGCTGTGGAGAGCCTATCTAACCCCAACCACTGGGAAGCTGATCCTTCCACAGCTGCTGGTGCTGGAGCTGCCCTGCCCACGTGAGGTCTTTAAACCAACCCCAAGCTGGCGGGGTTGAAAGGCCTCAGTCTGCAGGCTCTTCATTGAGATCCTGGCCTCCCTGCTTCTGCTGGCCTTCCCACACTCAATGCCTTCTCAGACAACCTGGCCGGTTCCCAGTGGACCCGGGTGCGATGGGTCTCTATACCAATCTGCATGCCGTTCAAAGATGCCAGTCACAGAATTATTTATTCCAGTGTGATCTTAACTGTCTTGAGATTTGCTCGATGTAGACATTCTACTAAGCTCTCACTTGTTTCCAGGTAAATTTTAGCACAGAATAGGAGAGAAGGTGCCTCTTACCCTGTCTGGCCATGCCCCAGCCAGATCTGTCATTTTGGAACAGAACATCCTGCTAGGAGCTCCTCCCCAGGCCTGGTCGGGTCCACCCACAGATAGAAACCAAACAACGCCCCGCTAGCGTCAGAGCACCGTGGCTGTGCATCAGCCTGAGCATGCAGACTCGATGACAGCCTCCAGGAGGTGCCAGGTGGACTGGCAGGGTAGGTTCATCACCCGACTGCAGGGCTGGGAGGGTTTTTCAAACCCGGAGCAATGGACTCTGCTTCAACCCCACGCTCCTTCGGGTGGGTTTCCCAGGACTGTGCTGCCCCCATGACAAGCTGCATGCGGTTATTATTAAGATCGTAGTTTCCAGGTTGCCTTGATATCCCTGAATGGCTTGCTCGTTTTTGCATCTTCTATGCATCTTCCAAGCTCAATTAAAATGCTTGGTAAGTGAATATTTGGGGAACACTGATGTGAGAAAAAGTAGACAACAGCATTGGAGGAGGAGAGAGCAGAGGCAAGGAGACCAGCAGGGAGGCCATGACCAAAGTCCAGGCCTAAAGACATGGGGTCAAGATGATGGAGGCGGAGGTGAGACCAGGGAGGGTGGTGTGCAGACTGAGCAAGAGGTTTTGAGTTCTGCCCAAACGAGGGAGGGCTCCTTTTTCTGGGCCTGAGTCTTGAAATAAGTGAAATGAAATGAAAGCTTTACGACACTAAGGTTAAAAAGGGATCCTTTTGAACCTCCCCTTGTCCCTTTCCACACAATGCTAAGGAAATACTAACGGTTACTATTTATTGGGGTCTTTTGTAACAGGTACCATTGTAAGTGCTTTACTTGCCCTAAATCAGTCCTCACAACCCTACAAACTGGCAAAGTTATTATCCCCATTTTACAGATAAGGAACCAGAGTTGACAGTGGGTGTCAGGGCTGGGATTCAGGCCAGGCTGGCTCCAGACCTCAGCTCTTAAGCTGCCAGTTAGCTCCTGCTGTGACAGGCTGAATGGTCCAGTTCGTAATTCCAACACTTAAAACTCATCAGTCATTGCAAGGGGCAGGAGAGGGGTGAGGTTTGAACAAGCTTCTCTCAGGAGCGCAAGCTGATGAATGGGAGTACCTGGCACAGGGCCTGACATGCTAGGTGCTCAGGGAATCGTTAAGTGGTCTGAAAACACACAGTACAGCGAAGAGTCTCACGCGGGGTCCGTTAGCCCAGCTCTACCACTGAGGGCATCTTGGGCAAGTCAACCTCTCCGAGTAAATTCTCCTTATCCATAAAATGGGCATAATGCAGTTTGTCCTGCCTGCTTCTTTGGGTGGTTGGATGGATTAATTGAAACAAGGTCTTGTACAAACTGAATAAATTTTTTCATAAACTATAAAGTGCTATGGATCCCAAAGGGTATCATTTCATGGGAGAACTGATGTGGCAGCAGCCTAGAGTCTCCTCTGGAGATGAAGAATCAGACATGAGCACACACATGGTCAGGGCCATCATCAGGATGTCGCCGCAGGAGGGCCACCCCACAGCCCTCCTTGTCTGCTGCGCCAGGCGTCAGCGTGTGCGCGGGAATGCGGCACGAGAGCACCCAGCACCCGCTGACTTGCATGCCGTTGGGCAGAAAACACCGTGTAATTTAAGCCCATTATAATATGTATACGTCATGCCCTGTCAGTAATTCTAGGTTTCTGTTTTCCTTATGTTAAATAAATGGGTGGTTTGGAAGTGATTTCTGCTTTACTGTATATAGAGAGACCGTTGAAACCCTAAATTAGAGTACATGAATGTCGACCGACGCTACAGCATTTTTAACCCTGAAGAATGCTTCACAGATGTTCTCTTTTGGTCTTGTCCTCCCACTAACCTTGTGTTAAATGGCTTTTGCTGAGTTATTCCCATCTTACAGAACAGGGGTGTGAAGCAGAAAGATGTAAGGTGTCTTGTTCAGGTTCAAATACCTGTTTTCATGCAGAGAGGGGCAGAGAACCAAAATATGTGGGTTTCCAGCCTTGCCGCATCTCTCCAGATCAGCTGTTCACAGCTTTGTTCTCCTGCTCTTTGTACAATGGGTGACATTTTCCTGAGCATGCCCAGGGTCAGGAGCCCTTTTGTCCTCTTAGGGAAGTATTTGAACCTGGGATGAGGGTAAGTGACTGTGAGTCTGATTTGTTTTAACTTGTAAATTAGGGAGCTAGCTCTGGAATCAGAAAGAACTGCATTTGAGTCTGGATTCTATCATTGAATGGCTATGTCATCTTGGCAAGTGAAGCTGCTCAGTGCCTCAGTTTCCTGATCTATAAAATGATAACAGCAATGGTCCTTACACTGTAGGTTTATTGTGAATATTAAATCAGATAATACAAGCAAAACTCTCATCACGGGCCCACTAGTTCCATAAATGTTAGCCATTATGATGATAATTAATATTTGTTGTGACCTTCACTGCTTTACTGATTTTTAGTGAGGTGATATTTATGATGCCCTGTGGCTGAAAACCACTGAATTTAGTCATGGTGCCTCAACCAAAATGACAGGTACCTACACCTCCAACTTTGTGTCCTTAGGCCTAGAAAGGACTCCTTCTTGGATTCCTCTCCCACTGCAAAGACTTTTCCTCCAGATTCTTCTACACATACACACACGTGCCCCTAGACTCTAA